AGGTTTCACTAAGGTCCACAAGGACACACTGCAAAACTCACACTCTGCCTCTTACAGATTCCCACAAGGTATTTCTCCTCATCAACGGCCACTTGGCCTACGCGTCCTGGGACCCACCCACCCCAAGCCCCTTATCCTTGTGTCCTCAGACCCGCTCAGATCTGCCTCTTTCCAGACTTCTCCCAGTCACATTGTCTCTCCATCCCAGGTGCTATGTGACTCAGAAGCCCTGGAGAACCAGCCCCACACCAGTCACTCAAAGCTGGTCGTCTCTGACACTGGATTTTTCCTATCAGCTACTTAGAAAATAAGCTTTTCTCTATATGGTCATTTTCAGTTTGAAAACAGCAAACTGGAAGCTTCATTCTCTTGTCTTAGCTTAGAGCTAGAAGTCCTTCATTCGTCAGATGATTAGGCCGACAATTCACAGACACGTGAAGAGCGTCTGCCTGCCTTTTTGTCATTTCTTGAGAGCTGACATGGTCTCACATTGAGCCAGAGACTGCTGTGTTTCAAAAATACTAAGTCACGGAGCCATCAAGAACCACCTCATGAGACACTGCTGACCATCGTCATCACCCGTGGTACTGTAGCTCGACTCTGACACTGACTACCTATAGCACGGAGCCTACAAGTTAAGGGAAAGGCAGCCCCCCACTTCAGACACAGTCACAAGTTTGGGAGTCTCATGCTCACCCACACTTCTGACCCACGAGCTACCAGCCCAGGGGCTCCCACAACTCCCTCCGGCTTGATAACCCACTAGAACAACTCGCAGAGCTCAGGAAGGCACTATACTCACAGCTTTCTTAGGGAGGGTATGAATTGGGATCATCCCTGCACAGAGACCCTCAGGGTCAAGTGTGGGAATCAGGGCACATTGACTCCCCCCAACGCACACAGAGGTGGCCACCCACCAGGACCCTCCACTGGGCTTACGCAGAGTCTTCTGGAGGTTTGGTTCCGTAGATATGATGGATTCTGTCACTGATCTCAGCCTCCAGTCCTCCTCTCCTCCTGAGGCCAGGCTGGCTCACTGCTCAGTCCTTCCATTCCAGCACTGGGTTTTCTGGCATGATCAGCCCCCTACCCTGAGGCACCTTGTTAGCCTAAATCCAAGTGTGATCCCAGGGATCCTGAACAGCAGAGGCAGACCTATGGGTTGGGGATTCCAAAGACTGAGCTTCTCCCCTCCCAGGAAGCAGTGACAAAGGCCTGGGAAAATTCTTTACTAGACGGCACCCATAGTCTACACTGGAGGCGACATATGGCAACGACTCTGTCGAAGTCACAGAGGCCACCAGTCAGAGCCAGGATCTGAACTGGAATGTGTGGCGTTGGGTCTCCGTCCATAAGGACCACAGTACATGGCCTCACAAGGCACCTCAGGAAGTGAGTGTAGACACTCAGAGCAAACCAGACAAGGGTGTGAAAAATAACATGGCAGCCACAGGGGAAATAACAGCCCCATGTTGTTCCCTTTGACTTGAGCTTCCGCTTAAAAGCAGATCAGTGCTCGACTGTACTGCAAGGAGCCTTCATGCTCCTCATTTCTGCAGAAGGGAAATGTCTTCCTGATTACAGAGTATCTTCTTAAGTTGTTATATGAAGAAACACTTAGGCTAAACTGACAATATTCCATGCCTGAAGCTGCCTGAGCATAGCAGGGAAACTCAGATCACCCATTTCCTCTTTCAAGCCAAATTAGAAGTTTTCGAATTGCAAATAAAAATTACCTCCTCACTGAAACAACAGGGGAGTGGGTACATGTGCGTGACAGGAGTCGAGTTACTCGAGTTCTGAGTCTTGGTGGGGGGGATGCAGAACATGGGATAGAACAGAAAGCATTTGTGTTACCCCCAAATCTAATAATACACTGTACGTCAATTAAATTGGCTGTAAATTTAAAAAATTTTTAAGAAGTCCTTGTGTTGTGTGTATCGATATATCAAAACTGAAAAAAATTATAAGACAAAAAACATCATATGAATAAAAGATACAGCATAGGAAATATAGTGGGAGTACTGTAATGGCATCTGGTGATGCACGGTAGCTGCCCTCGTGGCGAGCACGGCAGATAGTGACATTGTATTCCTGGAACTAATACACCATTGTGCATCAATGATACTCAAATTAAAAACATTAACAACAACAACAACAAAAATGAAAGAGGGAGCGTACTTGTGTTGTTCTGCAGATTCAAGGCAATGAGCCCCGTAAACACTGCACCAATCCTGGTGTCTGGTCAGGGGATGGGATCCGTCAGCTCTTGCGGTGAATCACTGAGCACGCACAAGTGTTTGGCCAATGACTCCACCCCACCAGGTACGTGGAACTGCTGTGGCTTCCAACTCCAGGACCCATGAAATAGAGTACTCGCAGCAAACATGACCCACATCAAACTTTTCAGGGGTGACAGACCCTGGGAGAGCATTTCCATGTTCCAACACCACAGGGCACGTGCCACGACAGCTGTCTTGTTAGCGGCCATCACCACACCCCTGACACTGAGGTCCTCTACATGAGGACACGAGAGAGAGTGTGGGGAGGAGGCAAGAAGGCAAGAAAGCACAGAGCGGGGAATCGCAGGCAAGTATGGCAAGAAGCCTGAAAGCTTTATAGATGTGGAAGACTGTCTCTGGGAGGGCTCTGGAGTTGTTTAACCTGCTCATTTGGAAACATGAACCAAGAAAGTGAGGCAACACATAGACTGCTTAATGATGTTCACTCAATAGAAGATACCTTAAAACATGGAATATGAAATAGTTCAATAACGCAGGAATTTCCTCCTGATTAAATGTTTAACCAAAGACAGGATGGCTGCTGGTGGTGGAGCATAGCAGGAGTCATGCTCTTGTCCTAACTCACCGAGATTTAGCGCACAAATCCTCACAGGACGATCAACACAAGTTGATACTGGAAAGGGAGTTTGACTTGTATGTTGAGGTACCAGAAACCACTCAACTGTTCCTTAAAATTTTAACAAAATATATCCTAGGAAAATGTAAAAGGAGCGAGTTAACTGTAGAAGGGAAGGGATAGGAAGTTGGATTGAAAAGTGAAAGGCAATGATAATTCAGATGAGGTAATGCAGGTTACGTGCTCAGAAAGAGGGTTGCTGATGAAAGGTGGGAAAAGAGACTTTCTGGAGATAAGCACAGACTGCACGAGAAGAAGAGAAGGCTGAGTAAGTTCTTCCTAATCATACACGACTCATACCGATGAATATGCACTATTCTTTCTTGGGCAAAGTAATGAGATGGAACAAACAGCGAGCTTCATGGGAATGCCTGGCCCTGCCTGGAGCAGGGAAACTGGCCAATGAGGCGAGACCCACTTGCTCTTTCCCCTTCTTCCTGGAGTTCTATTTTCTTCCAATTCCTTCAAGCAGAGTAACTTCTAGAAAGAGCTGAAGGGCAGGATTTGCATTAAAAAATCCAGGTTATCAAACCATTCAAGAAGGCACTTGGTTTAAGGAGGGCAACTTGTATTTTCACAGAACAAGAGCATTTGTTTATTCTGACAGACACAAAGGATAGAAATGGTTTGGGGAAAGTTCAGCAACGCTGAGGTGAGGAGAGTGGCAAAAGACAAAACCTTCCTGAACACCAGGGCTAAACCGCGGACTACAGCAAAAAAAAAAAAAAAAAAAAAAAAAAAATGCTGTTTGGTAAATTACCCGCAAGAGATCTGTGGAAGAAATACACGCATGTTTTATGTTAATCCTGCCAAAGCTCCGATTCATTTCATCTATGTTCTCTATCGAAAGGACAATGTGTTAGGGGTGCCTGGGTGGCTCAGTCAGTTGAACGTCCAGCTCTTGGTTTTGGCTCAGGTCATGATCTCAGAGTCCTGAGATCAAGCCCCTCCTCAGGCTCCCAGCTCATCGTGGAGTCTCCTTGAGATTCTCTCCTACTCCCTCTCCCTCCTGTTCTGCTCTCTCTCTCTCAAAGAAATAAATAAATAGGTCTTAGAAAAAGAGAACAGTGTGTTAAAAATGTTCTTTTCAACCTGAAATATTTTTTCCTTACGTATTTTCTTCTTTTGTTGAGATAGGATCCCCATAGCACAAAATTCACACTTTTAAAGTGTATAATTCAGTGCTCTTTTAAAAAAGCATATTCACAAATTTGTGTATGCATCACATTTACTTCTAGGACATTGCCATCATCCCCAAAAGAAGCTCCCTATCCAGTCAGAGTCATTCCCCATTGCCCCACTCCTGGCAACCACTAATACACTTCTGTTTCTGTGGATTTGCCCATTCTGGACACCTCATGCAATGGGAATCACACAACATATGGCCTTTGGTGTCTGCCTTCACTCACTCAGCATAAAGTTGAGGTTCATGTTTGTTGTCGTACGTATCAGTACTAAGGAGATGTTTTAGGCAACCAGAAGTCATTAAGTTTTATACTTCAGAGAGAAAAAAGTGGATATTTGTATTTCCTACTTTAGAAATTTAGCCATTACTATAGGGTCACAGGAAATCTTCCAAATCCGGTGACTTAAAAACGTGGAATACATTTAAAGTATCATCTTTGGTCTCATGGTGACACACCTGATCTATAACTAAAATAATAATGTTTAAAAGAATCAGAGGAGGGGTGCCTGGGTGGCTCAGTGGGTTAAGCCTTTGCCTTTGGCTCAGATCATAATCTCAGGGTCCTGGGATCGAGCCCCACATAGGGCTCTCTGCTCAGTGGGAGCCCGTTTCCTACTCTCTCTCTGCCTGCTGCTCTGCCTACTTGTGATCTCTGTCTGTCAATATAAATAAATAAAATCTTTAAAAAAAAAAGAATCAGAGGATTTTTCAGAAAATGAAGCTAAACTCATCATTGTCAACAAGTACTTGTTGGTAAAGACAGTAACATTCAGCTTCAATTCAGCTATGAACTCTGTCTTCATACTGACTATAAAATGGTTGGCAGGGATGGCAGAGAAAATAATCTCTGCGAGCAAGGGCTTTGAAGTCGGCACTCTACAGGGAAGGCACTTACAGCTTGCTCGAGAGAGCGGGGAGATCGTGGAGGATCTCTTCATAGGGCTCCTCGGAGGCCAAGGCAGGAACAGATAAACGCTCTTTTACCCTTTCTTCCCAGGCAACTTCGGCTTTCAACAGCATTTCCTCAATAAACTCAGATGCGGCGATATCTACAAGAAGCAAGAGGAACATCAGGAAAAGTGGGTGCTGAGATCACAGAAAATGGTTCCCTTTCCATAATTCGGGCATGCTCAAAACGTGAAAATTGATCAGAGCAAAACAAAAAACATGAAGAGTTTATGGTAGGTATGAAGCTGCAGTACCACCATTTTAAAAAGCGTTCTTGTTCTATATCGGTGGCATGTTTAATTACAAATGAAATGCAAGAATGTAGAAATAATATTCACTGAGTGGTGAAGTTAAAATGTAAAATCACAGAGAAGCTAAGCTTGAAGAACGTGATGTCATTTTCATTCTCAGTGCAACTCCTCTTCATCTTGACGAATAACAATCAAAATGATGAAAACGGTTACACATTCCCCAGGACTGGCTTACTGGAAAACTTAGAGTAGGTATTCTTTACGCATCCATTTGTAGACGGACCAATAAATAGTTGAATTCTGAAAACAGTGAGTCTAGACTCTGTGATCTGTTGTTTCAATCTGAAAGATAGTTGTACTTCCTTATGTATGACATACCACATGTCAACAGTGACATCTGAATATACCCGGGCAGCAACCTAGACGTGCATTACTCAGATTAACACTGACTAACAACTGAAACTGGAAGTCAAAAAATCTTGAAGAAAAATTCACCTTAGTAACAATTGGGAACTTAATGGACACAACTGCTCCTTTTCAATCCTTGTGACTGAAGTGCGTGACCACTTGTGTCTACAGATTTGAGTTATGTGGCTTGATGGGCTGGATGAGTTAATTCAGCCACCACGAGATGTTTATGCCAAGATTTTACCACCATCTGCTCTAGGTTAGATCATATCCAGTAACAAAGAGGAAGTAGCCCGGCTTCCTCACCTTGGGTGATTATGTCTGTCCTACCTAATGACTACACCCCAAACTGCTTTTGTCCCCCAGATAATTTTTTCTGTATCCACTCCAAATTCAAGAAACACAAAATGGCAAGATTCGAATATAATACTGTGATGATTTTCTTCTGCTTAGTCATAATCTGGGTGTCTACTTTCCTGTTCTCTGTGCTATTATTGTATCTGGTTCATTATTCGTGCTGCTGGATTAGATGTTGGTCCCTCCTGCATTTACTCAGAACCCTCGCTGTATTATAGCTCTTTGTCCTTGTGTGTGGAAGAAGTATTTTCCTTCAATCAACAAATGATTGTTGAGAGTCTTCTACCAGCCCATCACTGTGTCTCTCTTGACCAACAAGGCATGGAAAATGGATTACACTGAGGGTAGACTAGGTATGGCCAACACAGGCAACCTGTCTAAGACAGCCATCCTATCCTGAGGTGGCCAGGGCTGAGGTTAGACCAAACATTTAGTCCCACCCTGGCCTCTAGGACTGTGGGTTGCCTTGGGTGTCCATTTTGGCACATTTAGGCCAACTACACTAGACCTAAAGGGGGAGTCCATGTGGTCAAGGGTCAATCGTATATTCTCTTCTCTGGGAAAGAAGCCCGGGATGTGACTTTGAGGAATGTGACAAATGTTAAATGTGACATGTTTCACCATAAATACATTAAACAAATAGAAAAATCCAGAAATGTCTCCTTGCTCTTTTAATACTTACCATGAGCCATGCCTTTGTCATTGATACCAAGATTACCGCGCTCTCATTAACATCAGCCCGCGCCCAAAGGTTGAAACTGTCCGAGTATCTTAGAGTTTCATTTGTTACATCTTCAGTTTGTTTTAGCAGGTAAGATGAATAAACATTAAACACTAACTTCAAAAAGCAAGAAATAGAGCAAATCTCTCACCCTGTCTTAAGCTGGAGGTTTATCATGTCATCATACTCCTACAAATATATCCAATGAGAAATCTCAGTCATAAAGTGCTCACTTATTACCTTCAAGATTTTTATAGTAATGTATGACCTGTGCTACACTTTTCTCTGTTACTTAGAATTCTTATTTTTAATGAACAAAAAACTTACGAATACATTTGTTGTCAAATTGTAAAAGCTAGAAAATGAATGCAGCATCCCTGTTTTTAAATTAGTAGATGAACATTATGAAAGAACAGTGGTAAAAAGAACTCTAGAAATGTTCAAGAGATACTTATCAAAAATGGTAATATTCAATTAAGATTGTGAGAGTTTTAAATTAGCTGGAGGGTATCAGTCTCAATTCCTTGCATTAGACCTGTCTGTGCAGAAAAAAAAAAATATTATTTAAAATTACCCTGATGAATAGGTGTGTATTTGAAATGATAAAAAACCAGTTAAATAACAGCAAAAATATATTCAACAGTAATTGCCATTGAAGGAATCACTGTGTGGGAAGTTGAAAGCCCCAGAAGCAAATTGCAGGGAAGTACAAGGGTCCCAATGATGGGAACCAGCCTGTAAGGCCCTTTTGCAAAGGAGCTGGGCAAGTTGCTTCTGGAACAGGGCTTGGATGGAGCGTGTGCACAGAGCTTCCAGGGGAGGCGGCCTCACTTGGCAGCCATGCTTGGGATGGACGAACAAGTTCTGGTAGGGCAGGAAGGAGTCAGGAACCGCTCACTGGTCCCAGGACACTCATAACCTACCTGAGGGCTTCTCTTCATTGCAGTTCAGAAGGTTTGGGTTTGCCTGATGCATCAGAAGAAGCTTCACCAGGTTTGTCTGAAACAGTAAAGTTCACTGAAATAAGAATCCCCAGAGAGAGCTACAGAAGCGTGGTCTCTAGGGGGCTTCATCCAGCCTGCTGGAGGGAGAAGGCATGAACACATCCCACCCTAAGCGTTTCTCACTCTCTCCACTTCTAGTTTTCCCAGCTCCTTTTTAAAAAAAGTGAAAGACATTCAAACCAAAAATTACTTATCAAAGGAGGGATAAATTGCTGGGGATTTGAAAATGCTCACTTAACACCTTCCTGGTTTATTTTAGGGCATCTGGTGGGAGGAATTACACCTTATATGTGTTTTGTTTTAATTGAGCGACTCATTAACGTCTCACTGGTCCTGTCCCATCACTGGAACCCCACAGACAACATGAACTAAAGTCACAGGGGGAGTTAGGAAAACTTAAATCTTACACTGTAAGAAAGGAAGAAAGCAACCTGATGAGAGGTTAATATATTCTTTAAATCTTATTATAAAATATAAATTCAATGAGTATATATGTGTACATGAGCCCTGAAAGAGAAGTATGAAATGATTTCCAGGGTATCCAACTTTTTTTTTTTTAAGATTTATTTATTTTAGAGAGGGAGAGCATGGAGGGGAAGAGCAGAAGGAAGGGGAGAGACAGAATCCCAAGCAGACTCCCCACTTAAGGGCAGAGCCCAATGTGGGGCTCAGTCTCACCACCCTGAGATCATGACCTGAGCAGAAATCAAGAGTCAGACGCTCAATCGACTGAGCTGCCCAGGCACCCCCAACTTTTTAAAATAGGTCATTCATGGCATCTTTCGGTGTTTCTTCCCAAAATTATCCCTCAGAGTTGGCCACTTGTGGCCACTGTCATGAATTTCGGGCTATCATTATGATTTCTTTATACATTTCTCCCTTATGTACAGAAGCACCTCCCAAACAACACATACCTCAGTCTGTGCGTGACACTTAGAGAAGTGAAATCCACACGCGTATACTCATCTACGCCTTGCTTTCGTGACTTAACCCTGCATTCTGAGAGTCATCAAAGGTGATGGACAGAAACAAGATTCATTCATTTTGTCAGCTACAGTATAACTGCACCGTACAAATATATCGTAATTTACGTGCCTTCCTGCCTGGACTTTCAAGCCGTTTGTAGTCATTTATTTTTACAAGTAACGTTGCTACAACTGTTCTTATTTATCTTGGTGCACGCGTGCCAAGGTCTCTTCAGGACGCAAGCATGTAGGACTGAAATTGCTGGGATAAAGGTCTGGACACCGTCAACGTGGCTTAGATAGCTCTAGCTGTTTTCCAAAGAGCTCAAATGCCTGCCCCATCCCCAACAAGACGTCCTGCTGCTCTGCACTCTACTTAATAACTTTGCTACTATGCATTTGCCTATTGCTAGATTCACATTCTCTCCAACACTTAATATGGTCATTTTTAGAAATTTCGCTCTCATACCAGGAATGAAGTAATATTTCAGTCTGGTTTAGCTTGCTTCTGTGATGACAAATGATACTGAACACCTTTCCACGTGTTGAGTGGCCCTCCTCAGCTTTCTTTGGAAGTGTCTACTCAAGACTTCTTCGCCTGTTTATTACTGAGTGTTTATGTTTGCTTTAGTGACCTGTGTTCTTCATGTGTTCTAGATATGTTTGTCAGATACGTGTATCACAAATATTTCTTCCCATTCTGTGGCGTCCCCATTCATATTCTTGAAAATGCTTTTTTTTAAAAAACAGAAGAATATTTTAACTTTGCTCTGCTTTTGTGAAAGTGTAACATCTGTATTGTTTTCTCAAGTGGTCAACACTCTATTTTCAAAATAACTGTCCGCTCAGAGGCCGTGACAATATGATACTATATTTTTTCCTAAAGGCTGTATAATTTAACTTTTATACGTATGGTCCATCTCAAGTGAGTTTTTGCAAATGACAGAGAAAATCTCAAATTTATTTTGGTCCAGGACCATTCGTTTTTCTGCATTATTTCTTGAAAATACTTTTTTTCCTCTCACTGAATTGCTTTGGTACCTTTGTTGAAAATTAATGGACAATACATGTCCGTGCCTGTTTCATTGATCTGTCTGTCTGTCCTTACTGCACTTCCTCACCACTTTGATTAGTGCAGCTTGGAGCCAGTATTGAAATCTTATAAGTGAAAGACTTAGAGTAAGTCTTGAAAAAAGTCTGTAATTTTCTTATTTTTTAAGATAATTTTGTCTATTTAGGTACTTGGTAGCTCCATATAAATTTTAGAATGAGCTTTTCAATTTCTAAAAGAAAAGGCTTAGGATTTTTATTGGAATTGCTTTAAGTGAATACCATATTAATTTTATATGGCTTTTAAAAATATCACAAATTTAGTAGTTTAAATAAGGAAAATTATCTTACAATTCTGTAGGTCAGCAGTCTGACACAGGTCTCACTGGGTTAAAGTTGGGGTGTTAGCAGCACTTTGTTCCCTCTGGCTCTCAAGAAAAATCTGTTTCTTGCCTTTTCCTGCTTCTAGAGGCAACTCATGTTCCTTGGCTTGTAGCCCCTTCCCTCAATTTCAAGCCAACAATGTTGCAGGTGTCTGCCCTTTTTTCATAAACACCCTCCCTATTCGCATGCAATGGCCTTCATTTACACGACCACGGCCCAATTTGGAATAACAACACCCCCCATTTTTGCATAGCCACACCACCCAGGGACCCTGAGCCAGGAATTGTTCTCTGCTTTTAAGGACCCGAGTGATGAGATTGGGCCCATCTGGGTAATCCAGGAAAATCTTCCCATCTCAAAATCCATAACCAATCAAAACTGCAAAGTTCTTTTGTTTTTTCAGGGAACAAACAAATTAACAGGCTTTGAGCTTCAAGGTGTGGACATCTCTGGGGGCCTCTTTTCAGCCTTCCACAGAGATCTTAAAAATATTCACTGTCAAAGCACATGATTATGGCTTACTCCTCCATTTTTTGGGGTCTTCTTTAATTCCTCACCACAGTGTTCCATAGTTTTCACTGTAGAAATTTTCTGTTAAAATATTCTGTTAAGTATATTGTTATATGTTTTATGTTTTTAATGCTACTGTAAACAACTTGATAAATGCACTTAATGGGTCTAGTCTTTCCATTTTTTGTGGATTCCTTTGGCATTTCATCCTCCTTTCTCCTTTCTCCTTTCCCAACTTTGTCCTTTGTTTCTATTTCTTGCTTTATTATATTGATAAGAACGAGACTGGGTTTTCCAATCTTGGGTTTTGCTATTGTAACACATGCTGTGGCTCTCCCCACACACAGAGCTTCGCATCCAGGCACATGAGACATCTCCCTACCCACCGATGATTGTTCTGGTTGGTATTCTCATTAAAAAATTGATTAGATTTCAAACAGTCGCTCCTTGTTAGCTTTCCCAAAGCCCATTCAAAAATCGGTGTTTGATTTTGCAGAACATGGATTATATCAGTAACATTTAAATTATATTACAGTGCTTATATATAGAAGTTTGTTTTTATTTCCAAATATAGAGTTTATTAACGGGAGATATTCTCTTGAAATATGAAAGATAAAATATAGAGAGCAGTTTCCCAGGACATTGAAATAGGTACAGGAAAGAGCTTTGTTTTATATTAAAGATGAGAGTGATGTGTTTGCATTTAAACCACATGAAAGGAAAGAAGGAAAAGAAAGATGGACAGGTAGAAGGAGGGAAGGATAAAAGAGGGAAAGGAAGAAGAAAACAAAACAAAACAAAAAAGCCAAAAGTGAGCTAAGATTACCTTTGGCTTTCCCAAATTTGAAAGAACAGTAATAAATCTAAATGCTTTTATATCTCTGCAAAAATGTCAGACACACACCTAACAATTACTTGGCAATTGTAAATGCAATTCAGTGTGTCCAGGCCTCCAAAGAGAAATGTGCCATCTCTCAGAAAACCACTTCTCTCCACAGCCTCTCCTGGAACCCCAGAAAGCAATTCAGTAACAAAGGCAAAATGTTTCCTCCAGGAAAATCTCTAGCAATAAAAGCAACTCCATTTTATTTCAGGCCCATAAAAAGAGGCATTCATGTGTGGAAGGAGGAAGCCCTCTCATTTGGGGAATTCCTTTCTTTTTTTAGAGCCAGTTTTCCCCATGTGCTTCCGATCAGAAATCGGGGAGGCCCGTCACAGAACTAAATTAAACAGGCCTGTGCTAATTTCAATTACTCTCCTCCGGAACAATTGCTTTACCCTCTCAAAAGACCATTAGGTAAATTGCTTCAATTGTGAATAGGTCAGGTGTGTAACCCAGCAAGAATTCGTCACCACCAGTACAAGACCGCTACACTCACCAAAGGCTCCGGAGGATAAGGTCACTGTGTGTGTGTGTGCTGGGGGTGGTGAGCGTGGAAAGGGAGACCCTGCAGGATGAATGAAAATGCACTTAAGCTGAAATTTAAATCCACACAAGTTTCACTGGACATGGACTTGTTCATTCTTTGGAGAGTTGTCCTTCAGTGTGGATGAATTTAGCAAAATTAATTCCTTGATGGTCATTTAAATGGCCCCTTTAAAGAGTTGAACCACTACGATGAGCATCTGGACGAAGCTAGTTTCTAGCTCAGACGCTAGAGGAGACTGTTCCCTTCATCTAGTAACAAGAAACTGAAGCGTTAAAGGTCCCAGAACTCCCAGTGTGTGCTTCCTGCCCCTGAAGGATTTCAGATGTAAAATACAAAACCACCTAATAAATTACTATTATCCCTATTTGTGGCCCAACTGTGATTGTACATTAGACCCAAGAGTTCTGCCTCCATTGCTGAGAGCACAGGCTCTCCAATCCCGCCAGTACCTGCCGGTCCTTCCAGAGCCTGTCCCTCCCCTCGCCCAGGTGGCAGCCTCCTCCTCCTGCATCCCCTCCTGGTCAGCCTCCTTGATGACTTCTCACGCTACCCAGCAGGTGTTGCCTGTGCTGCTCACCCTTGGCTGGAGTCCCTTGGCCCACATGCCTTTTTTCTGGGGCGTCAGGGACAGACCTGTGCACCTGGGGACCGTCCCT